CCTAGATAACTTTGAGTACCTTCAACCTCTTCAAATCTCCTTTTTCTCTCAGCTGATTGACTTTGATTTCTGCTTCTCAAAGAATATTTATAGGCTATCAGAAGAGAATCTCCATATGTTTTCACCCCACACATACTCCACTTACATGCACCTGCAATTTTATACCCAGTTTTCCCTTACTCTTGTAATGGATCAACTGACCTTGCTTTTATATAGTATAGGGGCCATTACTGCATCTGGATTCTGAAACTCATCTTCCCTTGCTACTCAAAGGCATGCAGTCCCCCCCACCCCACCCCCGCAACCCCCCTCCAGTTTTCCTTTTCTGTTGGAAGAATTAAAGTGGTGAGAGATTGTTCCCTTAAACTCACTGAAAGTCACTTCAGCCAGAGGGGAAGGGTTTGGGACACTTGGAGGAGGCACAACAAATAATTTCTGCTTCCCCTCCATTCCTGCCCTCTGCCTATCTGTGCCTCTCTGATCAGAAGCAGCAATCAACAATCCGAGTATATATACCCATTATTTGGAGGATAGGGTACTTTTCCCCCTGCCTTGGGTTCTTTATGCTGCTCCTGGACACATGCATATCTACCTGCCAAGGGGCTTGGTTTGAGGGTGGGTAGATGCTACTGTACTAAGAGCTGAATTGACCAAAGGAAACCACAGTTTACTATTCAAATCCTCCCTCAAAAGTTGTAAGACTTCAATAGACTCTGGAGTTCTGAAATAGTTACATCAGACATATTCTGCCAGTACAATTGTTGTCTAAGTGGAAAGATAGATTCCTGGTATTTTCTACTTCAACTTCATAGATTTCACCACCTCTGGCAACGTTACCTTAAAGTAACCAATATTCTCCTTAGAGCAATTCCAACTCTGTAACCCATTCTTACAACAGCCCTACATGGTAACTTTATTCCTTTTTTACGGATGAAGAAGCAGAGACTCAAGAGCCCAGCTCATACAGCTACCAGAACCCCAAGCCAGATCTGTCAATTTTCAAAGCCCAGTAAGCTACATGGCTCTTTTATGTATGAAAATTAAATTAGGGCAGAATGTTTTAAAAAGCCATCTTTGAAATTTTATCATTTGAAATTCTCCAAATTCATTTGTAGGAAAATGTAAGAGCATCACAAATGAAAATAAGTATATAGTAATTGGATGTTAAAGTGATTGTCCAGTTGATATCTGCAATTTCCTATCTACTTTGTATAATGTAAATAACCTATTTCTCAGAATTATTTACATCACTTACCATAAATGTATTTTCTACAAATAAAGGAAAATTTAGGCCAAGTAAAACTTTTGTAGTTGTATGTAGACATTTTAGATATGATCTGCTATAGCAACCATAAATTCACATTTATGAGTCCAGTCTCTTCAAACTCCCATAAATAAAGTAAATCATTACCCTGTATAACCTCACTCAAGTAAAATTTAATTTTTCTTAATTTGTAAGTAATCAGTTAAATTTTCAACTCAATTTTAAATCATCATCATATAATCATATTCTAGCAAATTTTTAATTGTATTGTCATTTCCTTACACATACAGACATTAGAATCTCAAAAGGTAACAATTCAAGTTAGAATAGGAGCTGGCAGCTCTCTGCTTGTGTCCCAGGGTTTCACATTAGCCCATACTGTCTAACATACCACCTCTGGCATCATCACCTTAAAGTAACCAATATTCTCCTTAGAGTAGTCCCAACTATCTTGTCTTTTCTATGACATCAGGGACTCCAGAGGGATATACTTAAGCACAGAGCTCCTTCTAAAAGTACCGTGCTACCTACACTCTGCTTAACTAAGGGAAAATTAATATGAACATTTTATTAGGAATTATTTTCCCTGTAAGACAATGATAGAAATTTGTTAAGTATATATTTTTACATTACTTGTATTTTTTACTTTACTTATATTCATTTATTTTGCATTAACTTATTGGGTATTAGCTTATTATTGATGTTATAATAAATAACCACAGATTTCATGGCTTAATACATATATATTATCCATAGTTCTAAAGTTCAGAAATCTAAAATGGGTTTCACTGGCCTATAGTCACGTGACCGTACAGATACTCACAGGCTATGTTGCTTCTGGAAGTTCTGAAAAAGTATGCATTTGTTCACTTTGTACAGCTTCTAGAATGCAATAAATGAAACTGCATTCTTTGTGTGGCCCCTTTCTTCATTTTCAAATCCAGCAGATAGCATCTTGAAATCTGACTCTGGCTTGTTGCCTCTCTCACTTAAAAGATTCTGTGATTATATTGAGCTCAGCCAGATAATCTGTATAATATTCCCATGTAAAGATTGCTAATTTAATCACATCTGCAAAATCCCTTTTGTTATACAAGGTAACATATCCATGGTTTCCAGGGATTTGGATATGGTCATTTTTGGAGGGCATTGTTCTGCCTACCACAGTGGTCCATGAAGGTCTGGCAAGAGTAGAGTCAATATTATTTACTGATTCAATAACATTTTATGGATCTAGAATTTTTTTAAGAGTCCAACGTAGACTATAAATGTGGAAATGGATTAATATCTAAGTATGATAGAAAGTATGGTAGATTTGAGCATATAAAAATTAAAAACATCTCTGTGTCAAAATAATTAACATTATTTGAGCAAAACCATTTTCAAAATAAAATTAGACTTAGGGCTGGGGGTATATGTAGTTCAGTGGTAGAACTTGTGCTTAGCATGAGCAAAGCCCTGAGTTTAGTCCTCAGTACTGCCTCCCATACACCACACACACACACACACTGTATATAATTAGACTTAAACCAAAGATCCTTATACACAAAATTTAAATCAAGTTAAAAAACATTTAAATGAATTAAAAATGGATCAAAAAATAACAAAGCAAATTCAACTCATTATTTTTGTAAATGTGTTGAATACCTTTCTGTTCACAAATTAAATTAAAGCAATATATGATTATATGCCATTTTTATCTATGAAATGATGATAATCTGTTTTAATTAAAGAAAAAAGTGTCCTATCTTACTACTAGATGTGTTAATAAATAAGAAATTAGAAAAATTCCTACCTTGGCAATGATTTTTAAAGTGTTAAATATTAAATGCCTGAAGCAGAGCTGGGGATCTAGCTCAGTGATAGAGCACTTGCCTAGCATGAGTGAGGCTCTGGGTTCAATCCCCAGTAGCAATACACCACCACGCAAAGTATATGATGCGTAAAGTATTTGACCAAACAGTCCAGTTTTAGAAAGTTAACTAAAGGTGTACATAAAGAGTTCTAAGGAAGTTCACTGCAGCATTGCTTGTAACTGGGAAATGGAAAACAAGATGGGCTAGATGAATTATTGTTAATACATAAGTGGTGTCCTTCAATAGATAAATGGATAAAGAAAATGTGGTATATATAATCAAGGGAATATTGCTCAGCTTTAGGGAGAAATGAAATTATGGCATTTGCCAGTAAATGGATAGAGTTGGAGAATATCATGTGAAGTGAAATAACCCAATCCCCAAAAACGAAAGGCTGAATGTTTTCTTTAATATGTGGATGCTAATTCACAATAAGGCAGGGGTCACTAGAGAATAATAGTGTTACCTTAGTTTGGGTAGAGGGAAGTGAAGGGAGGGAGAGGAGGGGATGTGGGGATAGGAAAGATAGTAAAACGAAACAAATTGTGTGTGTCTCTGTGTGTGTGTGTGTGTGTGTGTGTGTGTGTGTGTGTATGACTGCATGACCAGTATGATTCTACAACATTTACACTCAGAAGAATGAGAAATTATATCCCATCTATGTATGATATCAAAGTAAATAAATGTATTCTATTATCATGTATAACTAATTAAAACAAAAAATTAAAAAGCTAAAAGAATATAGAAAATATTTATAACATTGAGGGAAAATAGGTTATAGAACTATATGCATAATCCTTTTTTAAAAAAAAATTGTACATGTGTATATAAAAATAGGTGATAATGACTATGGTATTCCAGGCCTTACATCTACATATTACCAGTAGTGGAATTATGGATGTTTTCTTACTCTTTGATTATCTGCCTTTTTCATTTTTATCATATACGTGTATCACTTCTGTAGTCTTTTAAAACAATAAAATCAGTGGCAATAGTTGTTACACATTTTAACATTGAATCTGACTAATATGCAATTTCCACATCTATCCTTTTAGAAAAACTGTGCCTTTTTTCTTGTGTTTTAGACACAAAGTGTTTCCTTCTCCATTCACTCTGCTACAAGTTCAACCCTGACTCTATGCCCCTATTTTGCCCTTTTTAGTCATCCTGAATTCTTTTTTTGGTATTATCTTTTAGAATCCCAGGACCCAGATTTCTTGTCACTGGTCATCTTCCTGGGGATTGGACTCCTGGCCCAAAATTTCAGGCTACTGTCAGACGGCATCCAGTTTATTCTAATGTGCATCCTTGATTCTGATTCAGCTATACTGATTTTTATCTCCAGATAGAGTTGCCACAGTCTACCTGATGATTAGGACTACTAACTTCTATTCTGTATTGGGAAACCACTGCTGCCATTCCTTCTAAACACCATGAGTTTCTTTCCCTTCATCCCTGATAAGGCCAACTATCTGCAGCATCTCAGCAATGACTATTTCCAGTTTTCTGCATTTCCCACATTGTTCTGACACTATGGTTACCTGGTCTACCGTATATATTTCTCATCTGTTAAATTTCATCTAGGTGTTTCTCATTTCCAGATGAACAAGAAAAGAATCAACTGGTAGCTAGCAACTTATATTTTCTGATATTCTTCAAACTTTAGTGGCAAACTGAGAAATCTTTGGAAGAACTTTGGCTATCTATACTTGGCATCTCATTGTTAACATTTAACATAGGTAAACCAACAGAGGGCACTCTTCCCATTGCAAGATACTAAGCTTGAAGGATTCCACCTTAATGCCTCCCAATAATAATAATGAATTATCTGACTTTATAACAGTGCCTAATTGCTTATTTTTTTCCAATGTTACATCCAGGTATTACTTTGTTTTTCCCGGGATACGTCAGTATTGGGTCACTTTGCATACAACAGTGCTTCACCACCGAAATCATACATAAGAGGTAATATTTTGGTAATATTAAGGAGTTTTATTTAAGACTTACAGATTCATGCCAAGAATGTTTATTTCATAGCTTATATTGGTTTTACCAATTTTTAATTGTAAATTACTTTTTTCTCAGTTGACGTTAACTATCTTTTCATTCTCACTTAAATCAATACAACGTATCACAGGTCCCGGAAGCAGCATTTCAGGGACTTTCTCACTACAGAAGACATTTTGCCTTCTCAATTTTCTCCAGTATTGCTATTTTGTTGTATCTGTTGACTTTTCCTAACTATGGGTTTATCACATAGATTTGCTTTTTAAATTTTTTTTAATTTTCTATATTCCTTCTTTCAAAATGCCTTTTAAAGTAACGTGTTATTAGAGCTCTAATTCCTATTTTAGTAACTCTCTTTATCACTAATTGCTTATAATATATCACCATATCAAGATCTTGAAAACTGAACTAATTTTAGTTGACAGCCCTTCTCAACTCCTTTTTATTAAGTGATGAATAGCCAGCACAGAAAGCTCATTGCCCTATTGTATATGATTTCTCTGTGTTTCCTTGAAGAATGAAACTATTTCTCCTGGGTTTTGACCTACCCGCCTGGTTGCTCCAACTCCTGCCTGCCCTAGGACATGCTACTTCATGTTGTGTTGGATTTGGGCTCCACATACCCTGGGGGTCTCTTAATTTCCTTGTTTCTAAAATGAACTTACAGAATTTAATTACCTAATAGACTCACCTCTAAACACGGCTATGATTTCAAGTCCCTTCATTGGATGATAAGTCTTAAACTAGCTAACTTTGCTACCCTGATTATTCCACAATATGCCATATTCATTCTAGCCTCCATATGTTCTTTATGTGGAAAGCTTTCCCTTCCCCCACTCTAAAAAATTTTCTGGGACTTTGAAGAATTTGAGTATATCTCACTGTGTCACCAAAATGTCATCAATTTCCCTTCCCTCTGAACTCTAAACACTTAAAACCTGCTTTTAAAAAAAAAAAGAAAGAAAAAGAAAAAAGTTAGTAAAAATAATCTAAGATTTTTTCTATTTCATAAACTATATGGTTGAGAAACTATATAACTGTATTTTTGTTTGCCTCTCAACATCTAGTGCAGTAATCAGTTTCCTTTTCATTATTCTCTCTTTACACAAAAATTACTCCTTATTGTTTCTACTCTATCCTAAACTTCTCTTCTCATATTTCTTATTCTTTGTCTCCTCTCTGCCACTGTTTCTAACAAGAACAAGAAAAAAAAAATTTAATTAAAGACTTTTTTAAAAAAACCAGCATAAGAATGAATTTATTTTTATTTACTTTTTCTTTGCTACTGGGGATTGTACCTAGGGCCTCACACAGGCTAAACAAGTACTCTATCACTTAGCTACATTTCCAGCCCCTTTTCTATTTTACTTCAAGAAGGGGTCTTGCTAAATTGTCCAGGTTTGCCTTGAACTTAGAATCTTCCTGCCTCACCCTGCCAGGTACCTGGGATTACAGGTGTACTCCTTGCACCTGTCTGAATATCTTTTCAGTAGACTCAAAGGGGTTAGAAAAATAGTCAAGAAAAAAGCTACCTAAAGATATTCAGTGAAAGGTGGGACAAACTGAGAAACTTAAAAGCTTTGAGGGAAAGCTACTTTGTAAAACTCTTAAAAACATTTGATTATAGTGAATATACTTTCTAGGACATTCTGATTTCAAATTTTAGCCCCATTCTCTGGTCATAGAAAATATGACCACTGTACAGTTAAAGACACTTAACTTTTAGCTTTTCAGCACATTCCATAAAAAATGTAAGCTAATGAGATATTGCAAAGCTTAGAACTTGCTTTAATGACTAGATTAGAATTATTTGGGGGGCTGGGGATGTGGCTCAAATGTGGCTGGGGTTCGATCCTCAGCACCTCATATAAACAAAGATGTTGTGTCTGCTGAAAAACTAAAAAATATATAAATTTTAAAAAATTCTCTCTCTCTCTCTCTCTCTCTAAAAAGAAAGAATTATTTATATTTAGCAAAATAATGGTATGCTTATAGATTTTTTTCCCTTCTTACATGCTTAAGGAGTTTGAAAGCATTTGTTCTATTATTTATTTTGTATCACTTCCTTTGTACTGAAGTTTATATTATTGATTTTAATTAATGAAAGGGTTTGCTATTATCAAAACATTGGCAAATTTTTAAATTCCATAATATGAAATAAAATCAGACTATAGTATTCTTGAAAATTCCATTATTAGTATATTCACATAATAAGTTAATTTTAAAAATTGATTTAAATCATATTGAAACCCTCTATGGTTTTCTCTTACAGGAAAACTAGGATTAGAAGAATATGCCGTCTTTTATCCACCAAATGGTAAGAGTAATGCTATTGCTTCCTCTAGTGGGAAATACAAAAATTACAACTTCTATAAAATAGGAATGAGATTTTCTTATTCTCTGTCTTTAAATGGAAAATGATTTATCATCTAAAATAAGTGTCCATGGAATACATACTTCAGTGAATTTTTCCATGCTAAACGAGTCATACCTTCTGTGGTTCTCCTTTGGACCAATAATTTGTGAGAAAGCTAAGTAGGCTTATTAAGTCAAGGTATGTGTTTTCATCTGAGGAACAGTAGTCTAGCTGGGACCTTCCTTTTGGCATTATTGGAACAGTGCAGAAGTGAGTTTTCTTGTGCTGCATTTTATTTTCATAATTTGACCTGTGTGGTATTTATGAAATACAGATTATGAAGAGGTTACCACTGAAATAATCTATTTTGAAGTGAACAAATATGAATGACCTCATATTTAATATTTAGATATTAAATATTCATTTGAGATTGTTAGGCAGTTTTTAAGATATGCTTCTTGGAAAAACAGTATATAGCAGTTCTTATTATGATGATATTACGTTGCATCCTGAAGAAGTTCTTTTACCCCAGCAGAGTTAAGAACATGGGTTTTGTAATACAGCAGACCTGGGTTCAGATCCCAGTTCTGCCAGCTCACTCTATGATCTTGGGTAAGTTACATGACTTCTCTGAACTTTAGATTCATCAACTGTAGCATGTGGATTATAGATTAAATGAGATACAGTCTGTAAAACAGTATAATGCCTGACACATAGTGAGTTCTCAGAAAATGTAGCTGTGAATGAGTGTGTTTAGCTCTATTAACCACTACATTTTAAACTGGCTTTCATGGCACTATTCTTTCCCAGGGCCTCTCAACATAGAGTTCCAGTTTCATTCATGATTGTCTACTTCTGCCCCTCCTTAGATACCTTACCATTGTTCTGCTGCTTTCCATAGGGGCTTTCATTTGCTTTCATGGATCTATAGGTTAATTATTCTAAATTTTTTGTCTCCAGTTCTGACCTCTTCTGTGACTACCTCAAAGTTAACATGTCCCAACCTAAACTATTTTATCTTCTTATGACCCCAAAAGGAAAAAGGAAGCTAAATTTTAAAAAATAAGCAAACACTGTTCCTCTTTTAGTTAACTGCATTATCATCTGTCCAGTAAGTCAAAGCATGGAGCCTGGTAGTTACCCTGGATTCCAGTCAGTCTCATGTCCTGCAGTTTTATCTTCTTCATATCTTGGACCCTCTTCCACACAAAGGCTACTGCCTCGCCTTCCAGGTTCACCATCTCTAGCCACCTACCTGGTCTATCTTCCTTGTCTTCTCTGGTTTTGTGCTCTGTCTTGTACCCTGATGAATTGTATATCTAAAATGAAAATCTGAAGATTGACATTTTTTCTCAAAAATTGTTGTTTATTTGTTGTCTTTTTGTTTTGTGGTGCTAGAGATAGAACCAGGGCCTCATGCAGGCACTCTGCTCCTGAGCTATATTCACATAAGAATTTCCTTAGTGTCTCCTGTCCTTTAAGTAACATCCAAGTTTCTCAGCATGGCATATATATGAGGACCTCTCGAATCTGTTCCCTGTATAATCTACCTCCCAGTTTCATTTCTCATTATTATTTTTTAATCATAGCAATACCAAACTATTTTTTCTTGTTACTCATAGCCACATACTCTCACAAAAGAACTATGCTGCTTCAGTACCTCTCCTGTTTCCATTCTTAGAATAACTTTTCTCCACCCAGCTGCCATCCAGACTCAGCACTAGCACTTGCCTGAATCCCCTGGTAGGGTAAAGGGCCCTTCCTCTAGGCCTTTATAAGACCTGGTGGAAAAAAAACCTTTGGTATCTCTTACTATATTTTCTTGACACTGTTTGATTATACTTTACCTCCCCCTTGATATTGTAAGCTTCAGAAGGCTCAAGATTATATTGTTCCCCAGTATCTAGCATTTAGTAAGAATGTAATGAACATTTATTGAATTAAATTAGAGAATGGTTATTTGTAACATTTATGTGTGTGTAAATGTGTATATAAATGTAAATTTTTAGATGTTTATATATATAAATGTAATATTGTTGTTGCATCAGTTATTCCAGAAACTTAACTTTCTGGTAACTTTTTTTTTATTTATTAAGAAATAGGAAATAAAAAATAAATAAAATACCTCTGAATAGTCAAAAGCAAAGTTTATGGATTTCAATTCTTTCTCTCTCTACATAGGACACCTTTGTCAACTTAGTTAAGAACATATTAGCTCTCATTTAACACATATGTCTAACAAACTTGGTTTATGCCCCCTGCAAAAATAGAAACATGGAGAGAGACTGATATAAATATGAAAAATGACAAACAACAGTGAGAAGTGAAATTAGAGACCTCATAAAAGAAAATATTAAAACTATAAAACAGTATTTGAAAGCACTGCAGTAAAGCAGCCTGGAACTATCTTATGTTAAACCAATAATCTTATATCCTTTGAAAAGGTATCACTAGGTTACAAGTTAGAGCATATGTATACATATATATGCTACAACACACATATATGTGTGTGTGTTTATATATATATATATATATATATATATAGAGAGAGAGAGAGAGAGAGAGAGAGAGAGAGAGAGAGAATCTGTGTTTTTCTAGCAGTACCAGCTAACATTTTCTAGCAGTACTATATACTAGGCAGTGTGTTAAATATATTACATGCTAAACTCATTTGATTTCTACACTAGCCCCATGAGGCAGGTATTTATATCCCTATTTACAAATAAAAAACAGGCCCGGAATATGAACCTGCTCACCTGGTGAGTGGCAAAGCCAGATTTTGTCTTGTCTTCAGAAACAATTTCTTATCACAATTACCTTAATCCCTGAGAAAATACTGAGTTTATTATAGTCTCTCTTGGAAGAAAGAAAAGTGGTTAATATATTGAAAAAGTGAATAATGCATATGATAGGTTTTAGAAAGATTTTCATCCAGAATAAAAAGTTTAATCCAAAGATTAAACTTTTTAAGATAATTTGGCATCTATTCATAAATTTAATTCTATACAATATTTTCTTCTCTTAGGTTGTTTTAGAAGCTACCAGAATTAAGGACTCCTTTCTGTAGGCAATGATTCTTAAGTTGCAGAACAAGAAAAGACAAAGACCAGTCAGTCTACTGTCCCTTTTTTCTTTACCTTAGGCAATACTAAGCAACATTTTTACCCAGTTTGTTTTCTAACCCCTGCCAGTGATAATATTACTGTGAAATCCCAAGGACACCTCTACCTCTACCACCATACAAACCAGCCTGTCTTTCTTAGTCTCCACAGGGAAACACAGGTTTGTCTGCAGCTCTCTGGAATACTCAGTCTTTGATAAGATGTGTGGTTAGAGTGGGCAGAGATTTTTGTACCACCAACGCCACACCCATACCTGAGATTACCTTCTTTAGGATGGAAAGGACAGGTCATAGTGCATCAGGCATTTCTCACTTCATTTGAGGATTCAAATGACTCTTTCTCTAATAAATTCATTAAACAACTGGTAAGGAACATTTCTGAGACATCTCACAGAAATTTTAAAGCTTTTCATTTTTGTTGTTGTACATGTTGTACCAGTTATTCAACATGTATGCATAATCTTTATTCATTTGATAAATATTCAGCCCTCTTGTGGCTCATGACTGTAAGTAAGTGATCCACAGCATAAAGTACTTGCTGCCAAGGAGCTTACATGCTAGTAAAGGAGACATATGAGGGTAGGGGGAGAATAATTTTAGACAGTGATAAGTAAACAATGAAAGAAAAATGAAAATTATAGGAAGTTAGGGAGAGCGTGGCTATTTTAGATAAGGTAGACAGGAAAGGCACCTCTGAGGAGATGGAATAGAACAAAGACCAGCAGGTACAGAGTGAGCCCTACAGAGAAGCAGAAGAACGGTGTGTCTGAGGGTCAAAGGTAGGAACAAGCTAATGGTTTGAAGAACACCAAGATGGCCAGTGAATGATAATGAGCAGATACAGGTAATGTAGGAGAAATAGACAGGGACCAGGCTAAGAAGACAGTTGATTTAAAGGACAATGTCTATTAGTTTCTTTTCCCCACCCCATTGGGGATAATCTATAATTTCTTGTTTCTTTTTATGTCTAATTTGTTTCATTATTGAAAATTGGCTATTTTTTTAATATATGGCTGTTTGTGTTTTTTTCTTTCCACATCTTTATTGGTGCATTATAGTTGTACATAATGATGGGGTTTGTATTGCATATTCACATATGTACATAACATAACAATATAATTTGGACAATATTACTCCCCAGCATTTTCCCTCCCCCTCTTCTTCCACCCCCTGGTCCCTTTCCTCTATGGTCTCAATTTGAAAATGGGCTGTCTTAACCGTTATAATGTAGTAACTCTGGACGTCAGATTCTCTCCCCACCCCAGAATTCATTATTGTTGTTTTATTTTTACAGTTGTTTATTTAATGACTTTTTTCAACTATTTCTATAAAAAGATTGTCTTGTATGCCCACTGAAGTCTCTGCTCCATTAGTTTAATTGTCAGCTAGTGATTTGACAGAGATTCCTTAAACATCTACAACCAAAATATCAAAATAAAACACACTCTCTCAGACTTTGAACATCAGCTTGGAATGGATCACTTCTTCAAGGCTTACCCAGGCCATTTACAACTGTCCCTTAGCCTTTACTCTTTTTTTGCACAGGGCCTAAAAGTCAGATGGAGGTGAAAGCCTAAGGGCATCTCAGGGCTTTCTAGATCCCCCCAGGAGCTTTTACTTATTCTCTCCTTCCCCATCCTCTGCATCCCATTGCTTTTTAGTCTGTCTAGTACTTGCCCCATCTGTTATGCCTCATAACCAGGGTTAGTGAGGGAGAGAGAAAAATCTAGTATTTGCCTTTGTGTTTACACTCTTGACAAATGATGCCTGGCAAGCCACTTGTATACTAAGAAAGCTCTGAGATTAGGCAGATGAAACAAAGGCAAATCTGAGACAGTTC